CCCCTCAAGTTTTGAATTTCTTTAGTCCATCAAGAACTGACCAGAAGGGGAGCAAGTTTGTTACTCTCGTTTTTGTTTTAACTTCTGACCCATTAAATTGCTCTCAATTGGAGTTCCCCTTGTTGTTCCTTAGCAGAATGCTGGGCTGTAAAGGCAGGGGTGAGACTGGTGAAGAGGGAGGAAGAGTGTGCCTCTCCAACTGCACCTTGGGCTGCAAGTTCCAGTTCAGTGCTCTGCACTCAAAGTGGGTTCTGAAAAAACAGCCTAGGGTTGCCTTTCTGGAAAAGCCATATGCTTGCTACTTTAGCTTGGGTTTCCCTTCTTGCAGAAGATGAAGAGGGTAATTGCTTGCAGTCACTGCTGGTATGGTAACTCCCTATAACTTTCATAATTATTTCCTGTCTTTCTAAGGAAGTCAAGGAGGAAAAAAGTGTGGGTTTGTTTTGTTTTTTGTTTTTTTAAAGAGACACTAACCGTGGTTGGTTTAGAACATGCACCTGGAGAGCTATCGCACTTCGTATTTCTACTTTACCTTAATCTCGGTTACAGAGATGAGACCTTTGCTCCTACAGGAGATGATAGGGGAAGGAGAAAGCTTCACCTCCCAAATGGGCCAGCTGATTCTAGTGCAGGGTAACTGCATGCAGAACCAAGCCACAGCAGGTCTTCACACTTCTAAGTGAGGGGAGATGCAGCGGGACTTAATGGTGGTCAGGTGTGGTCCTCAAACTGCACTGTGTCCTGTGCCACTGAAGCGATTCTCTAGGGCTAGAACGGTGCAGCCGCAATGGCAAGCTCCCTGCATGCTGAGTGCAATCAAAAGCCATCTTGTCTTGCAGGTCACAAGTTACTGCCTACTCTTCAGCCTGCTAAGGCAGAGCAGAAAAAGTCGAGTCCCATGGATTTCATAGTGTAACACTTCAGTAAGATGCAGGAGAGAAATAACAGAGAATAAGGATGACAGTTCTCCCTGTTTATAATTCAGCACCGAGTAATAGTGAATACAATCTCAAGCCAGGTATTAATGTCATCCACAGCTTAAGTAAGCATTTGAGCCAGCTCTTTTAACCTAGAGTTGCCCTTTTAATCACAAGACTCAGGCCTTGATTTTATTTTTATTTTGAAAGCAAGTTGGGAAAGTTTACAAAACCTGACCAAGAAAAAATTATGAAAATATTTAACTGGATTCATCTTTGGTTACTTCTTATTGCAGTTCCAATAAAACATACACCATTTCTATAGTTCAAAAAAAGTCAGAAGGTCAATCAACATAAAAACAAAGACGTGCTTTCTTTACATATTCATAAATATCCACAATATTAGAAAAGTTGTTTTGCAAAGATTTTTTTTTCTGGCAGTGTTAACTTACTATTATACACAGGCTACAAACTTCTTCCTAAGCCTTTAATTACAAGTTGAGCTATTTACAGACTGCAAAATATTAAGACGTAAAACTCCTTCATAAATATGAAAATAGATCATCTCGCAAAGATCTTTATACTTAATCAAATATCTGGCTGCCCCTCCTCCCCCCAAAAAAAGGTTATTTGTTTTGCATAGAAATGTAGTGACATGCAATATAAACAATAGCATTAAGTGCAAACAGGAATTATTCAAGTGTCTTTAGTTGTACTGGCAAAAAATACCAATGTTCTGTTACACATAATACATCAACGCCTCTCCAACAAGTGTAAGTCTACTACAGCCCCTTGTCTGCACTGCTTTTGAGGGGCAGCAATTCACATGCATTCTCTTAGTTGCATTTTATCAACCTGCAACCTCAACAAAAATAGCTTATAACAGACATTTTAAATGAATTCAACATCGAAAGATTTAAAGTGAATTAAAAATATTTTTTGATCTCTTCGGGGAACCTAGCAATGTGTAGAAAGTGTTTTAAAAGAGCAAGAACTGCTCCTATAAGAAAGTCAAAAATCATGATAAAATCCAATCACAATAAAACTGTCACATCAGTATAAAACAAGGAGTCTGCTGATCACGTGTTCGTATTCATGTTCATCAATAGCTGTCAGAAAATGGCCCCCAGTAGAAAAGCACCCTCAGGAAGGCAGAAAACCTAGGAGTATTTACTAGGTGCGACCTCGATTCAGCTTTACACAACCAAAGGGATGAGACGTAGTGAGTGCCGACTGTACCCAGACCCTTGGAAACACTGGGGTTTAACAAGCACTTGGCTATTTTAAAATGGCGTTTCTTACTCCAGTTTCATACACACGCCTCTTTTCCTGTACAGACCACGAATCCAGGAAAGGCTCGAGCCGCTCTTTTTTTTTTTGTTTCTCTTTCTGACATCTCCACCTCAGCCCAAAGAGCTAGAGAAGCTGATAGATGTGCCCTATGCACGTCAGCTGGCTGTGCTTACAGCGGGCATTTAGGAAAATAAAATTTTAGCCATGCTGCTTTGTAAGAGAGCCATTCAGAGCAGGGAAACATTTTAAGAGACAGTGGTAGTAAGAAAACAGATGAGGTCACTGTAATGGGTGCCACAGAGGTACCCCAAGCCTGACTGCACAGCCTTTGCAGTCAGCGTCAGAGAGGGCCAACAGGCTTCGTGATAAGGTGTCAGCGCTGACAACCAGGGCTAATGCAAGCCACAGAGCAGCCAGAGGCGCGTGTGTGCTCTCCAAAGAGGCTGTGGGCAGCTGTAGGATGCCGCACAGCTTCCTCACAGCCTGCCGATCCAGAAGTAAACTATTCCTTATTATTGCTTGTTTGTCTGAAGTCACACACCTAAATGCATCTTGTGACAACAGAAGCTGGTGCTGATGGTTTCCATCCCAAAAGATTACAATTGTATAAAAGATAAAAAGAGAAAGAGGAGGGGGGGAGGAATAAGAAAAACAAATAAGAAAAAAAGCAGGCACCAGGCAGGCAACTAGCTGGCAATTGAGCTCTGCTGACTATTTCACTGTCCTCAAATGAAATTTCACACACAGCGCCAGCCATCCAAGCTGCTCTGCACTCTGCAGACACCAGCCCTGCAGAGAGGATACACAGGACAGACTACTCTAGAGATCAGCACCTGCAAGAGGCAGGGAGGTGTGGGCCAAAAGGGGTGATCTTGGTAAGGATAGGCATTTTCTCTTCCAAACTGCTAACAGCTGCCTAATCTGGCATGGACTGTGCTAATTACCTCAGCAACACTGGGTTTCTCATTTAATTCTTCACAGCCACTGCAAAGGGATAACTGCTGCTCAGGTTAACACATATTTCACACGAGGAAGTCATAACTCACAGAATAGTGACCTACACCTCTGGAAAGATAAGCATCTCAGCCAAGAAAGAACTACGGCTTTCTCCTTCATCCTTTCTTTGATATAGGGAGAGAGTAGGAATAGTCTTGCTTCCATCAGAGACTAGCTTACATTTTCCATCCTTACAAGAGAGCAGGAAGAGAATGTAACAGGCTACCTCAGTGAAATTCTGGTCTCTACCACATCACCATCTGCTCAGCAGGCATGCAATGCATACTTCAGTTAGGAATGATAATATAGGTTTAAAAAAAAATTAAAAAATTTAAATCCCATGTCGTTGGGACAATGATAGTGGAAAAGGGCAGGATGGTGCACAAATGTCACTACAGAACAAACTTTTCCATACATCACATCCCAGAGTGGGGATCTCTGATTCCAGCAAGCAGCATTAAAGCGCATGCCACTGCTTCTTTCATAGGTACCTGCTGGTGACGGGAAGAAAAATAAAGAAAAAATCATACTGTTTAGTGACAGGAGAAGCCAATGAAGACAACAGCTTCTTTCTGTAGAATAAAAAAGAAAAAGTTAATTTGGGACAAGCTAATTATCTTCAGTTTGACAGTTCGAAGCCCTTCTGTGAGTCTACAGCTTATCCTCTCCAAGAGCACTCATGTGGCTGCAACACTGCTGGCAGTTTCCCCCGAGAAGGGGATTCCTGTCCTCTATCAAGCAGTCTGGTTTTAAATAAGGAGCCATCGTTACTGCAGTGGTATCAATGAGATGGGATGTCATACCAGAGAGAGAGGGGAATGTGAGTCTTCTAGCTTAGTGGTAATAGTCAACTGTGATCTAGATATTGTATTCAATTAACTATTCTGCGGAAATGGATCATGATGTCCATTCAGCTCTTCAGAGGTAAGAGCCCAGCCCCCTAAAAGCTCAGTACAATTGGTACTTTCACTGGCAGTTTCTCCAGAAGCCCAGAAATGACAATGCCTGAAATACGGCTCTCCTCTTGTGCCCCGGGCAAATCTTCCTCCACATTTGGGCTGAGGTATGTGAAGAACTGTGCAAGGAGGACAGCGGTGCTTACCACATCCTGCTTTCCTGCACTAATGTATTACGCATCATTACCAAATCCCGAGAGAAAATGAAACACCAGGGAACAGATTCTTCTTGTTAATCGCAAAGTACTTGTCATGTGATTCAGCCTGCAGATTGCGACCAGCATGAGCAGTTTTGGTTTTGCTGCTTTTGAAAGAAGAGCTTGTTTAGTGCTGCAACAGTATTCATGGCAGCTCTGGGACCAGAAAGCATTCCTATCGCTCAACATAGCTCTGAAAGATCTCTGTGCCCATTCCTAAACCAGAAACTCTGACTCTGCACTGCTGCAGAATGTTAATGCAAAATCTGCAATGGTTTAGAGCAGCTGGTCAGTCAGAGGGAGAAACCTCAGGGTCACTCTTTCTACCCAACATGGAGCTTAAGGCCTTAAAATTCTCCATGCTGGAATCCAGGTCAAACTGTTTACACGGTGCCTGCTCTGGCTGCTGCCTCTTGGAAGGACTGTGGGGCCCACACGGCCATTCTGGCTGGAGTAATTCCACCTCCTAATGCAAATCAGGGAAAGGAATAAGCACAGTTTGAAATAAAGTTAAAATAATCAGTCTCTCCAGATGCTGTCTGCAGCTGTCTGTGTGACAGCCAGTTTCTACCATCTGCTGAGTCTCTTCCGAATGTGAAGCCCAGCACTATAGAAGAACAGAGTTTAAGTGACTGGGAACGACTGTTCCCTCAAGGACACATTCAGTTTGAGCCCTCTCTTCATATGTCACAAGTTGACTGCGTGCTGCCACTTGCTGAGATGTTGGAGGAGGTCTGAGACAACAGGGCAGGACTGTCCCCATCCTGCTCCCTGAAGGACCATGCCTCTCTCTTCAGCTCGGTGGAAGGACTAACACTGAACAGAGGCTTTGTAGATTCTAGCGGAATATTTTTCAGCAGATCATCTTCCACCTCCATCTCTTCAGAAGGGAGACAACCCACAAACACTTGTGAGGAGCCATGTCCCTCAGAGTTCACTGAATTCTCAACTGGGAGCTTTTTGTAAGATAGCGGCTCAGGCTGGGCCAGCACTAATGGTTGATTACATGCTGGATCTCCACACGTGTTCTCAACAGGGCAAAACCCATTTTCCTCCTGGGCCGCTGGCCCATCTGAACAGTCCATATCCTCTTCTTGTCCTGGTGCAGGAAGGAATTCTGGCCTGTGAGGCTTGGCTTGAAAGGGGGGTATCTCTGACACACCATATTTACTGCTACTCAGGAGTTTTTGCCGAACTTCTGCACCTAGCTGGGTTGGGTCACACCTGCTGACAGTTGATGACAGTCCCCCAAACAGGCCATATTCCTTGTGCGGCAATTCAGGAGAGAGTGGAAGTGATCTGCATCTTCTTCCAGGAAGAAGGGAAAATTCTTGCCAGTCTGTGCTATACGCCTGCCGGAACTGGGACTGACTGGCTTTCAGGCCTCCACCCGCCTCTGGAGAATGCAAGTCAAACACAAGGGAGATCACAGACTTGCTTGGCATGTCAAAGAATTTGATCTTCCCTCCCTTGAGATCCTCCCGGGCACTGAATGGATTAACTTTCCGGCCTAAGCCTTTGTTTGGCGTATAGTAGGGGTCCTGCACGTTTATCTTCCTGGAAGGCTTGCGGGAGAAGATATCCGACTGGCTGCGTGACAACCAGATATTCCGACGCGGACGGGGTGACTTGGGTGGGATCTTATCATCCAGGGAACTCAAACGTTTTACTCCTGGTCCTTTTTCAATTGAACCTGAGTAGAAGAAAATAAGTACTTTTAGTTTAAGGGAACTATATGCCTGCATGTCTGTTAACTCACAGAGCCTTCGTGACAACTGTAAAGAAAAATCTGCATTTCTGATGTTCCAAAGTATCTCCCGTAAGCAGGTTTGCTCATTCCTTACAAGTTCCTGCATAAACACAAGGAACTTCTCCTCAGTGTATTATTGGTTTCAAATGTGGAGATTTGTCAGCCCTGTCCACAGGACCTTTCAAATGCAAGGCAGTCAAAACTACATTTAAAATATTCTCTCCTCTTTACTCATGCCTCAGGCGAATTAAAAGTCATCTTGAAGACCTGAGGAAATGCAAATTCAGTTAATGCCATCTTACTTCCTTAGGCAGTGAAACTTGCTTCTTTTATCATTTTATGATAAAATATGTCATTCACATTACGGGGGATGCTAGTTTGGCAAGACAATATTGTCTTCAGAAAAAATAAAGGAAAGGAAACCGTACAAAAATCTGGTAGGAAGGAAGAAAGAAGTCTGTCCCTCTTCTACCCAAACCCTGTATTTTAGGGCCCCTTCAAACCTTCTCGCTGCCAGTAAACTGACGTGGCAGAGATGGTGCAGGGTGGTCTTGAAGAAGAACAATTTGCATGTTTCTAGATTTATCATCCTGGCTTCCAACAGAAGTTGCCCAAGATGTCTTGATGATACTGACCATAAAAGAGAGCAAGTACAAAACATAGCTGCCAAAGGAATTTGGACTTTTTCACCTGAATGGGAAAAGTCCAAGACCAAAATAAATGCCCCTTCAGATACCATGAAGAGTTTAAATCAGTCCATCCCAGCCTTCGTTCAGTGCATTATCCAATAAACTAGGGATATATGAGAGTTTGACTCTAAGGAATATGAGTTAAAGCTGTACATATGCGTGTGTGTGTGTATTTATTTGTGCACATGCGCACACACACATATAGATATATATATAAAATAAAAGATGTATCACTAGAACAGGATGGGAAAATTGTAGTTGTTTAGGAAAAGATGTTAACTCCTTGAGTGTTTGGGACATGCATCTGCCACTGGCTCTCAAGGTGCCTCTGAAGAGCTGTGGTAGAGAAATAACAAACTGATATAAAGTGATATCTCTTTTTGAATACAATTTCCAGAATAAGCACATACAGGTTGCCGCTTTTCCCTTTCAATACTGCCACAGATTAGACTGTAGTCACTCCACCTAGGAAAGACTATGCAAGTCAAAGAACAGCATTGTGTTAACACATCTCCAAGAAGATGCAAATCTGACAGAGGGAGAATGCCAGGCAAATGGCAGGGGGGTGGGGAAGAAAAAAAAAAAAACAAAACCCACAAAAATACCACAAACCCAACAACCAAAAATACTCCAAACAAACAAGAATTTTCCTTTTTAACTTGCACCTCTTTTAGATGCTTTCCAGCTGTGGGGGAACTACCACATGCACGCACTCCATGTAGTTTGCAATACAGAAGTTATTTCAATCTATAACCATATTACAGATAGATAGGTATGTATGTATATATGTTGTGTATTCATGTGTACAAATATGATAAGCTATTTTTACTGTACTCTTAAGTTTCCAATGCCAGAAGTCTACTAACATAAAAGATACCTAAGTCAGAATATGCCCCAGCCTACAAGAAATGCTTGCAATTTGCTCCCCACACCAGGTGGCACTAGACAGCTTTAGAGAAAGCCCTTCAAGGCCAGCATTCCCAAGCAGATCTGGGATTCATCTTTTCCCCAGTCTTTCAGAGTATTTCTAGGTACTTTATAATACTCTTGCATTTTCTCTGCTCTTCCTCCTGCATTTTCTCTGCTCTTCCTCCTGAAGGAGTTTAGGAAGCTTATAAGTGTTACATGTAATATACACCAAAGAAATTATGTGTATACACTAAGTACGGCAGGGAGAAAGCAGAAAATGACGGATTTTAATATACTATTACCAAATTACAAAACCATTCCCAAATGAACTCTAGATTTTCCCTCAAGAGCTTGTGGGTAGAATCTTGTAAGGCACTTTAAGAAACAGTTAGATGTTCTTTCTCAAAGGACACTCTGCAGTGCAAAGTATATAGCATTAATCCGGAATCATTTTCAGGCTTTGAGTAAAATAATTCATGAGGCTGTAAATAATACCATATATAGCTAAAATCCTAGTCTTCAAAAAAATGAAGCATTGTACCCTCTTGCTGTTAGCCTGCAGCAATGTTTGTACAATACAGACACTTACCTTTGGGTTTTCTTTCACTGATGTCAAGATTCAAAAACTTTCTCTCTCTCTCCGAGTCTTCATTTCTCAGGCGATTTAAAATCTCCTCCAGTGTTTTGACAATATCAGCAAACGAAGGACGCAACTTTGGATCCATCTGTGAATGCACACAAATCAAATAAGTTCATGTGGGTTTGTCCATGCTATTCTACTTACACAGTGGACAGACAGAGGGACCATCTGAAGGAACTGAGGAAATTCAAGACTGTTTTAAGTGTGTCGTCATGCAAAAAACTAAGTAAACCAGGGAAAAGTAGTATTCTGTCCCAGTTTATGTCTATTATACCTCTCACATTTAATTATCAAGTTGTAAACATTCTATGATGAGGACACATTTTAAATTGAAAAGGTGGGAAGGTGTTAGATTCAGGGCTTCAGAGGGTTTGTTTGTTTAAAATAGCTTTCATAGTTCAAGGATTTCTTTCTGGGCTCCAGTTATCAGTCAGAGATTATACATCAATGTTATTTCAAAACGTGCCTGAAGCAATAAGGATTAAATAGAGCAACTTGGCTATGTCATTCTTTAAAAGTTTGTAATTCTTCCATCATCTCCTTGTAGCTTTAATTAAAACCCACCTAAACGGCATTGCTGATTTTAAAGTTTAAAAGGTTGTATCTTTCCATCTGTTAATTAGCCTTACTACTTGGCATACTTGTCTGTCTTGTGAGGAAGTAAGACTGGTTATATAATTTGACATAGTAATACAATAAAAAAAACCTAATCCATCTTTGCCCAAGTAAAATACTGCCCCCTCAGTCATCAGTGAGTATTCAGTTTGTATTTATTAGTAGGTATGTATTAGTCACCCTAGTAGAAATGGATCTCTAAACAAAATCCAACACTAAAATTGTACTAGAGGGCAAGCAGCTTAATTCAAGTAGCAACTCAGAAGGCATTTCATAATTTTGAATATTGACTCCGTATATATGTTACAGGTTTAATTACTGCAGGTAGCAATGTCTAATTCAGCAGCTGAAAAATTAACCTTATTATACTATTAAAAAAAGATTCTGCTTGACCTGATTCCCGTTTCCAGCTCTCTAAAGGCTTTTTCAGGGCAGACAAGCCCAGACAGGTCTCACCTCTAGCACAAAGGGAACAGTGGTGCTTTGTAAACAAAAAACCCCGAAGACCTCCCTGATAGTGCCTTGCAGGTCCTACGAGATGAGTATTTCTGAAGAGAACTGGTATGATCAGCAATGCCAGAACATCATCTAGTAACATAGGGTAAAGGGCTAAAAATTCATACGTACAGCAATAGAAAAACAAACAAACTTGAAAGGCTTAAGAGCAGCAAGAAAGTTGTTCTAATGCAGCAGCTGGAATTTCCTGGCGTAGGAAAACATCTTTTTCAGCTTTCCCTATTTCACTGAAAGAGTAGGGCAGGGGCAACTCCAAAGCACATGCTCTGTACCCCAACAAACTTACTAATTTGGGAAGCTTAGAGAGCTGCTGCAAGCTACAGAAAATAAGAACTCCTCTGTTCTAATTTGTGCTAGGTAAGATCCAGGATAAGAGCAGCAATGGAAAAGTGACTCTGAGCAACATTTGTCTCTTCTCTCCCTGAGCAGTCCAGATTCTGCTCAAATGGAATAGAAGGTTCTTCCTCAAGACAGCAGCCATCCACAGCGCAGCTCGTGCTGGTAAGCTTTTTGCATGATTACACACGATTATGTTTATAAGCATTTGCACAAGTAGGCTTATAATTGTTGAAGAGCCCTAAGTTTTAGACTTCCTTGCATGTAGTTATTTGGAAAAAAAAACCTTTGTAACAGCAAATTAAAGAAATTTTAATCTACCACTCATATATGTCAGTTTTTACTTGTTTTCCTGGGTTGCCCTAAAACACGTTTCCTGGCTGTAAAAAGTCCCAGCACTTTGTATATCAGTTCAGCTAACCAGCTGAGCTATACAGTTTACACTGTTTACCTATTAAATAATAAAAAGCTATATAAACATCCATGTGTAAGAGCAAAATATCGCACAGATCACCTATTATTGAAGCACAGCATGCTCAGGAAGATATAAGAAAGCCTCATCTATTCACCACATTTTTCCTTCTACTAGGTAAGAGAATTACAGCACACCCCACAATGAAATCAGCATATTAATGGCTTGATCACAAGACAGTAATTTCCACTTTCAATTCAGGGAAGGGACTTATACTATACAGGAAGCAGCATTTGACGATAATCAGGAGAAGGAAAATCCTTTTTCTCTTAACACACCAAGTTCTTACATGAGAATATAAGATCAGTTATTTCCCCATTCTTCATGAGTACAGTTTTACTCTGAATGTCACCTGTGCAGAAAAAATGCTTTGAATCATGCACCATGCGTTTGGATGCAGTATGATTTCTGGATTCTACAGGTCAGAGCTGAGATTTCCAGAGTCAAATCCTACCTCAAGCCAAACCCTGTAGTGCTTATGTTGTCAAAACACTTCATAAACATGAGTCAGACGTACCACTGTCCTGATGAAGCAAGCTCCACTGTACTAAGGTGAAATCAGAGGAAAGAAGTAGCTGGTCCAGAACAAGTTCCACAAAAATTTTTAGAGTTAATTTATGCTATCTTGTGTCAAGAGCAGCAGTTATCCTCACCTGCTCACAGCCTCACCTTTATACCACTCTCCCCTTGAGTGAGCATGTGCATTTGTACTAATACAAAGAGAGCTTGGGGCAAAAATAAGCATCAAGAGCATGAAGAGATGAGACTGCTTCTTTCAGCAGCAGTGTTGACATGAAAACAAAGCCTGAAAAATCAGTAACAGACAGGAATAAAAAGCCTGTTCTGAGACCTTCCTTACAAACACTCACTTGGACACAGTGCTGGTATTGGCTCCAGCATGGCTGGGTTGTGGGGTCCTGGGCAATGTTTTGTGCAATAAAATTTTCAGAATTTGCCTCAACTTAAGTTGTGCCAACTGGACATTCCCAACTTCAGCTGAATTTGGTGGGAGCTCAGGTTCTATTACTAGATATAAACCAAGTTACTATGCAAAGGTACTAGCAACCTCTGTTATGGGAAAACCCACAAAAGATACCTACTTTCCTGGAGTTTCCACACTGAGGAGCCATGAAGGCATCCAGCACTATCTATCACAATTTTACTTGAATAATTGACAGAAAATTTAATCCATACAGCACATTGTCTATAGCCTTATTGATAACAAATCATTTGGGTCCAAGTTTGGTTTTTTGGAACACAGGCTAGGGATTTGGAGGTTTATCCCACTTTCCAAAAGGCAGCAAATAGAAACTTCAGAGTAGTTCAGTGCCTGCTCTTGATTTGTTTGTCCCCTCTGTTTGTGAGAGCAATTCAGAATTCTTTCTTCACAGCTCAGTAGGTCTGTACACAATAACAGCTGGATTTTGTCAGCCTGAGGGCCAGCCAGTGTCAATAGCATACAACTGGTTATGATCAGCCTGAGCAGCCTGAAAGAAGCTATTTCAGTGTACCAGACCTGTTTGTTTGGCAAGACAGAATACAGAATTGCAAAAACAGAAGATAGGCCTTTTTGCAAGGGGAAGGGAAGGGTTATAAAACCTGTAAGGCACTTCCTGGGTTACCAGAATTTTCCCTGCCTTTATAGGTACGCTCTTCAAGTCTCTACTGTAAATGCTTTAAGCTCTATCTTCAACAGCCAGAGGGATTTAGAGAACTCCGGTTTAGGCCTCTCCCCTTCAAGATACTCACATTACAGCAGTTGAAGGCCAGCTGGAGGAAGTCAGGGGGACAGTCTCCCACCATGTGCTGGAAGGCATCATAATCTAATCCAAAATTCTGTACAAACAAAAAAGCATAGAAATATAAATGAGGTCTGCTATCTGGCCCAAAGCATCTTCTTTTCACAGGGTCCCTACGTGGAGTCATCAGGAATAACCATGAACACCATCTCTCAGCAGCCACATATAGAGGATTTTGAGAAAACTCCATGCACACTCCAAACTGCAGCATTCCCAATGGGGATTACTTGATACAAGATACCTGTAAGAGAATGAGCTGACTTCAAAGCCCATCCTTCTTCCTGGACTCAACTGCAATCCATTGCACTTGAAATGTTGCCCATGTGGATCTGGAAGCAATATCCTATACTACGATGTTTCACCATGGTGACTTGCACAGTGTAAATTAACAGCCTGCTATAAAACCAGAGGCTTTGCTATGATTAAAGTTTGCCAATTAAAATGGTTAATTTTTCAGTGGATGGTAAACTGGTAATACAAATTATCCAGTTCCTTAAATGCACTTCTATAAAATCTGAAGGGCAGAGAAACAAAAGGATCTCTTATTTACTGCAGTTCAAGACCTAAGCAATTCTGCATTTTCAGAACCGGAGGGGAATAGACAATTTGGAAGGCCCACCATAGAGGACCAAAAGCTGCCCTGCAGATGGGACTCAACCAAAAGGCAACTGATGAAAGTAAGAAGTATCTTGTTTGATTAGTCAATTCTAGCTCAGATCCACAGTGCTTAGCAGAGTCTATGCAAAAAACAAGGGTGAGCTTATTTTAGCTGCTGCTAACATATCTCCTGCCCCTTTCACAAGGAGGGGCTTCTTAGCAGATTCAGTGTGCCAAACCTGCTCTGAATCTGGCAAGAAGTCGACATGAGCTATCAGTCTACAAAAGGAAGGTGACTGCGATGCTCTCGATGTTCTGCTAGTTAGGGGCAGAAAGGATTTCCCACGAGGACTGCAGCTGGACAAAGTCTGTGTGAAAGTGTCTTCAATGAAGCTTCTTACAATAACAGCACAAAAGAACAAAAGCCTTTTACAGGCTATTTTTAATGTAACACCTATTCATTGTACCTTTGGCAGCAGTGCCAGAACTTCTAAAGGCCAGCCATTATCATGACATACTCACCACCTCCCACCAATGTTTTAAACATAACCACTTACCTCTGTGCGAGGGAGATAGTCTGGATCTGCCTGTATTCTTGCTATAATCTCACACAAAATTATACCGTAGGAGAACACGTCTGCCTGAGAGAGGAAAAAAATAAATAGCCACACGGTTCAGCTATGAATACTCAGCGTTCTTATCTGCCACTGAGTTTCTCCTTACCCCAAATGGTTATCGTGAAACAACTAGACCAACACCACAGGCTTACAACACTAAGCAATTTCATTATAGCTAATATTTTCCGTGTGAAGAAACACATGCTCACAGTAAAGCAGTCTTGTTGCACAAATAGCAATGATAACTTTAAAACTCTTTCAAGAAAAAAAGAAAAAAAACACCAAACCACTCAATTCAGCAGTGTTAAAAAAAAAATCTTCCTTGCATAAAGAATGGTGAAGTTGCATTTGATGTCTTACAGATGGGAGTAATTAAAAACATAGCCAAAAACATGACATGCCTATGTATCACCGTGGTTCGAAAGATGGGTTTAGAATACACATAAACACAGCTTATCCACAACATTAATGCTGTTTTTAAGAAAAATTACATTTTTCTCTTCTCACAGTTCAGCACCTATGGAGAAAAGTGTCTTTCCCAAAGGTTGAGATATCTAACGCTGTGTACCAGCATCCATTTCCATTGACATTTCCATGATGCTTAGTAATCGCTTATCTGACTACCCCTGGAGCTGCACAGTTGCTCAGATTTCCAGCCACCTGAATTTATCATGTAATAAAATTCAGAAAAACATGGAATAAAAGTCTACAGAACAGAAGTCAGCATCCTTCATCCCTTAGGTATCAGGCAGGCGTATATGTCACCTTTCACGCTGGTGAGGTATGAGACCTGTTTCCTCTTTAGTCCTCCATGCCCTAGGGTTAGTGAAGAATGTGGCACCACAGATTTGGGTCCTTTATTATTAATTTAGGTACTTTATTACTAATTTAGGTCAATTGGAACTCTTAAGAAAGCTTTGAAATGGTAATTATTACATTCATTACTGAGGTCAATACAGCTTTCCTGAAAGTTAAAAGTACCACCCATTAAACAGACTATTGACTACTAGCTATAAAAAGGTACAGGATGTGGGCTTTATCACAGAGAAGCTGCACTTGCAGGGCTGAAGTAGACTATGTTACACGTGGGAGAGAAAAACCTGTGCAAAGAAGAGCTTGACTGAAAATGCTATTTCTAAAATCCAGTGTGATCTGGTCCTCTTCTGAAAAAAACATTTCCCAATGCCACAAACAGGAAAACTTAGGAATACATTTGGAGAACATTTTCATCCAGGTATCTTACTTTGAGAAGTTTTGATTATTTTTTTTTTTTAATTAAAATACTTGTACAAGTTTGCATACAGACCTTTTACCTCTACTCAGATTTCACTAATGTATGATCAGGGAAGTAACCACTACATTTCTCATGAGACTTGATTAAATTAAGTTGTGTTAGGTCAACAACCTACTACCGTATTGCTGCATGTGGGGTGTTTCAGAATGGAAATAGCGTAACAGTGAATTATGCTAAAGGTAATTCTACTTCTGTATAAGAATCCACACCATGAATTAAAAATATTAGTGATTCAACTCATACTCTCCCTTAGTCTGAATGACCTACCGAGTACAGAAATGTCACAAATAAAAGTAATAATTTTATTATGGAAATCCTAAATCTTGTATACAGCTATTGATATAAATGGACTTTAATTGCCAGATGTTTCTCTTCAAGTACCTACCTTTTCGTTGTAAGGTTCATCTCTGAGAACTTCTGGTGCCATCCAGAAGGGTGAACCCACCACTGGTAACTTCTCACTATATAGATATGGGATGAATGGCAGGAAAGGGGAGAGTATTATTTTATTGAAGGTCACAGGTATTCAATAGTTTTGGCTTCCAAACTCTTGGCAGAGTGGGCTCCTTCATCTATACATATAAAGGTCTGTGGGCACCAGTTTCAGGCTAGATGTCAAGTTCTCCATTCATGTAGCAAGACGTGCAGGTGTCCATCCCTACATGTATACCAATAAGCAACTGTGAAAAGTATTCAGCACAGCCTACTTACAAACTGTTTTGGTTTTGTTTTTTTTTTTCAAAGAAAAAGGTGAAGATTGACCAGATAAATCTTTTAATGGGGAAAAATTAGAAGTAATTAGAATAGGGCCGATTTGAAAAAATTGCAATGTTTCCATATGGCTGAATACTTAAAGAAAGGCCTCCAGCTTGCCACCCAGCTGACCTTGAAGGAATACCTATTAAAAAACAGGCCTGTGAAGGCCTCAAGTAGCATAGCTTGCTAGCCAGCAAACTGGAAACAAGAAAACTGCATTTGAAAATGGAGGTAAGACTAGATCACACCAAAACGGTGGCTAGTGTAACAATTCTATTATGTTGTTCGTTTTAGTTTCGAGTTACCTTAACTTTAACTACTATTATACTCTCCGTTTTCTGGGCACCTCAAAACTGGCTATCAAGAATATCTTAAGGCACCTGTGGTGCACTCCTGATTTTGTGATGGTTTGTATGAATACAGCTGAAGTTTTCAGCACCTTAAAAGGGCAGAGACTCCACAGGAGCGTACAAGATACACATTGGCTGTACTTATCAGTAGTTTGGAAATTAAAAGGTTCACTTTGTTAAGCTTTTACATCAATATTTCATCAACATTAATGCAAGCCTTCAGACCTCCCAAGATACAGTTTTAGGATATCTGCAGTTTAAAAAACAGTGTATAGCTGAGATCAATTTTTATTGTTTTCTTTGCAGTCAAAAGAGCTGGAAGGCTTTTATTCACGTTACACAGAAGCACACACTGGAGAAAATCTGACAGCACATTTCACAGTCAGAATACTCTGAAATACACAAGTCAATATACAGAGAAAACAATGAAATGCTTGTCCTTGATCTCCTTAATGGAGGGATGACAAAAGGACTATTTCCAATTGTGACAATAGCTTGTGACAGTCACCTGTGCATTCCTCAAATGAGTGAAGATTAAAATTTCACCCTAGGGAGAGCAAAATGGTGAGCTACTGTTAGACCGTAATTTTAGCATCTCTTTGTTATAAACCTGGATCTTAACAACTAACCCAGAGGTTAAAGAGAATAATACCGGAATGCCACTGAACATTGTTTATGAAAATGGGAAGAAGCTAATGATAAAAATCATCCCAATCCAGAATGCTGGCCAATATTTTTGTGTTTCCTTTGTTGTGTTGTTTGGGTGTTTTTTTTAAAAAAAAAAAATAATCAAAATTTCCAAGTACCTGCTTTAGAAGATCTACTGAAAAGCTGGAGTAAATCCTCTACTCACAGGAGCATTTTTGAAGAATAAATGTCACCACTAAATCTATCAAAATGGACAGAAATTAAGGCTGGAACATTTTGGTCATCCAGCCTGCAGTTCTAGACTGAAGACTGAGGATATTTTTTGCAAATTTTGTATCAGAATGCAGTAATGGCCTCAGGAATCTGGCTCGTTAGAGGTTCTGACCTGCAATCGCACTGCAACTCTTGCTGTATTTTGATTAGTTCACGTACCTGTGATCAGGAATTTTCTCTGCTAAACCAAAGTCTCCTACTATTGCTGAGTATCCATTCTCATCATGTTTTATTAAGCAGTTCTGGCAAAAAAGAAAAAAAAACCCAAAAGAGTTATTGTCTGGGCATAAAACTCATATACCATTTGTTTTATTTATTTTTAATCTGGAACAACACTGCAAGATACTTTTTGGAAGACATTCATCTATGAGAAGCTTTTGTCTGAAAGCTACCACCATTTTCCCCTACCCTCCCCCCTGCACAATCACATGTCTGTCAAACTTAAGATGCTGCAAACAGCCTTACACTTAGTTAATAATCCACTTAAAAACTTGCTGAGAAAGCAGGCAGCTACAGGCAGCACGTATCCAGCTAGGTTCTAGCAAGAATTAAGATGATTTAGCTCTCTTACTGCTAAGTATGCAATACATGCTGTTCACTATGACACCCTAAATTTTCTCTTTACGATTTCCCTGTACCTGACCAGAATACAAGATCAGAACAGACTCTAAATGCCTTTGTATATTTTGCTACATTAACTACTGAAAAGGAACTCACTGCTTTGCAGTAGATTTTAATCAGAAAATACAAAATGTGATGAAGTTAATATGTGCTTTTAAAGTCTCAAACAAAATTCTTCATGCTACACTACATCATAAAACATAATTTAAGGGAGAAGTCTAATAGGGAAAAGCTGTGAATCCTTTCCTTTAAGATGTGACCTCCAGTTTCAGGCAGGAGGGCAATTTAAGGACACAGATAATTCTGGTCTGGTAGCATCGCATCACATCACACACAGGGTTTTATTGATTTATTTTTATTATTTATTTACAGCTCTGAGAAATATGCTTTGACCATTCCAGTACCAAATCTTTTCCCTTTTCACTGAATGAATTGATAGCTGACTTCCCTAAGGTTTTTTTTCTGTCCTGCAATAGGTGGAGCAAAACAGAGAATTCATTCCCTTACCACATGCCTTGCTCTGTATCCTTCTGCAGGCAGTACAATAGCAGTGACAGGCAGCAAAACCACTGCCGACTCCTACAGAGTGGTACCCTGCATTAATTAGCTAAACAGCAGGAAACACTTTCCAGCTTTATTGTGCTTGGATGTAAAAAAGCTCCTCGGTGACCCCAGAGCATGAGCTTGTCTGTATAATGCAACTACCAAGAAAAGTGAGTCCCTTGTCTAAAAGATCAAGTTCAGGTCATCCCCGTTTATATTATTCAGAGATGATTGTGGCTCAGGCCATGAAGTGAGTTTTCTTCCTGCCGATTAAAAGGTTAAGCAAGCCACTCCTGCGATCATGTAAAGAAAACGCATGCCAGCCTCTTGAAACACATGCTGGGCTCCTGAGACGCAAAGTTCTATTTGTTTAGCATGACTCAAGTCTAATAAGTACAGTTAGTTTGTGGATTCATAAACATGTACCAAGTTAAATCAACCATGCTTGCCCAAAGAGCAGCAAAGCTTCTCAGTTACGGGCTTTGTTATCTTTTATCAAAGAGCACATTCATTCAGCTTGCCTCTGTTTAAACATTTGGTCACTGTAAGTGGACTTAAAACTGAGAAGGATAAAACTTTTCTGAAAAATCTTACTGAAATGATTGAGACAAATGGAATTTCATTGTGTACCACACAGAAACAAGCCTATGAGGACACCAGAGATTTTGCAGCGTACAAGAATGCTGATACTAGCTTATCCAGCAAAATCTTAGGTTATTTTCTGCCATAGATTTCTCAGCAATTAAAAATTATTCATAATTTGACATTTAAAAACCCCTCTGATATATAAAGGAACTAGTTTCAAGATCTAAATTCCCTTCTTGCATTACCTTCAACTATTTACATTTTGTTCATTTTGAGTAGCAAGACTGCAGTAGTTCATTTTTCCTTGTGGGTTTTGTGGATTAGGGTTATTCTCCAATAATCCCATCTCTCCAAAATTTTGGGGGAGCGTTTAAATCCTGACTAAGAAATATTTTCAACTTAACTAAAAGTCTGTAGAAACTTTTCTACTGACATTAAGATTTGCAATAATTTACAGGCGTGCTTTGATACCAAAAGGAGGCTTAAATGCAACATCAACCTGAGAGCAAGTTTTCCTTCAGCTTCTTACCAGTATGCAATCACATCTCGTTAGACAGCAATACATCACCAACTGAAAATGAACAATCTTACCCCCCACCAAGCCCCGGGCAGTCTCAGCTCTCAGGCGCAGCACTGAACTATTACACAAGTAGATTATTCCTATATAAATCACAAATTAAACCAATAGCGCATCCAATCTAGCTGCCAAGTAATGCTACCTGACAGCTCTGAGCTCCTTCCCCGATGAGCAGGGGCTGCCTGCAGCAAAGTTGGGCTCCCTTTCAGCGCAGGCCTTTCGAGAAACCAAACAGAGCAGACACCCCACCACCGTGTCCTGCAGGAGAGGCCAGTACACCATGACAAGGCAATGGGGGAAAGCCTAGGGCAACATTTCTGCTATAAAGTACTGATCAATCGTTCTGCTGTGGTGGGCTGCACAATGTTAAATGACGTAAAAAAGGAAGCTAAACTATTCTCTCTCATTAGTGGAAGCTTGTCTTTTGTCTGAATATGAAGAAGTGCTGAGTGTGAATTTAAATTCATTAGGATACATATTCCAGTACAAGAGTGACTTTTTTATTCACACTTGAATCAGCCATGGGCAGGTGACATGCACTAAACCAAAAAAATGCCATTGTCACTACAAATGCTTACTGTAATGAAACCAAACTGATTTAATTTAACTGATGCAGATTTTTATGTAGCTAAGCACCAATTTCCTAGAACCCAGAAAGGATGGAAGCCTATTCCTACCAAAATCAGTAGTAAACCCCTTCTACAGATACTAGCATGGTCAGATGTCACCTTTCAAGCCTGTCCTGAATGAGCAGTACAAAGTTTTGCACGTGGCGATGCTTTGTTCTGTGCTGAGATCCTCCAAGTGTTGAAGGCTGACCTTCAGCACCACTATACTCCTCCTCCACCCTTCCCACCCCTGTAAAGCCATTACACAACACTGCACCAAAAACACAGCACAGATAGTTTAGTTATCAGATTTAAGATGCAATTCATAAAAAGGTGACTTAACACCACCCACAGTAACTGGTAGTTCATGTGTACTCAATGAAAGACATTTCTAAGCATTGACATTCTACTGCCAAGATAAATCAGGATCAAAAAAGGGACAAAGCTTCATTAGAGGCTAAAATGTTGAAAAGAGCTTTTAAGTTTAAGCTAGAGATGGTATCTCAGTAGGAAAAGTATGATAGAGCATACTGCACTGTTCCTACTGACAAAGTGATACTTCCCAGTTTCTACAAAAAAGAAAATATATGTATCAGTTTGGTATGAAGAAGTTTCATTAATGGATTTTGGCACAGCGACACAAGAGTTCAAACCCCTCTCTAGTGCAAAGAGCCTCTCTAGAACTGCCTACGAGATGAAATGCCAAGCAGCTTTAAATGCCAACATGGGCTTTAAGAAAACACTTTTGACTTACTGTTGCAATATTTGTATAAGCTGCAAGGCAATAAACCATGACATCCTTCTCAAGCTTTCTCTTTGGACGTCTACAAACAGGGATGTTCTTTCCTTTGGCAGCTCACACCATCAAAGAGGGCAGTATCTGACTTCAGTTGCGTTCTCAAGGTGGGGTGTTTTTTTCTTCACCAAAACAGGGACCCCATCATTCCTTCCTGAGGCAGTCTCTTAATAGAAGCAAGGAGCTCTGTACATGAGCCCTAAAGAGTTAACAGAGCTGTTTATGCAGAGACAGATGTGAAAGAACATAAAGCCCCCTTTGTGTGTTACAGGAGCTTAACATCTGCTTTGCACAGCATAATCCTACTAAGACAAATGCAATATTCTACTCTCCCTTTTACATAAACAAAAACGAAAATAGACCCAAGAGTTTCAGAGTTAAAAATAAGTTGCTTAGATGAAGAAACCCCATCGTTTTATTTTACAATATGACATACAAGCTAAACTCCCCAGAGATTTTATTGCACTCCAAAAAATACAGGAACGCTACTGCAGTGTCATTTGCAACTCTCTGATAACTGTAACTGAATTAAAATACTTAAAGGCCAATTGAGATGGATCAGCTGTTTTTAAAGTGCTTTTCTCTAGGAGAAACACCATTGACAATTAAATGTACAACAGGAAGTTTACAATACTAGATATGTTTTTGAAACAAAACCCATTATGTTTAAGGGACAGGCTCCATTTGGGTCCCAAAGTACCGGTAAGAGTTTAGTATTGCAACTAGCATTAGAAATAATCATCTCTAACAGCTAATTTTTTCAGTGCAAGCTCTCTCCTGCAGTGCAAAATATCCAGGCGAGAGCTTACTCTAGCACAAAGGGGACCTTAAAACAGCAGCAGCAAGTACGAGACTCATCAGACAAAGGTTCTGTTCATTGCTTGGGTTTTATTTTGTTTTATTTTGTGTTAAACAAGCAAACAGCATACAAGGTAGGAAGTCAGGGTATGTCACTTTCAAGCCCAAAGGCAGTGAATTTATGTTACATCAGATAATCCACAGTAATTGCTTACATGCATGATTCTGTCCCATAGTAACAGACTACTCCTCTCTCAATGAAAGAGGGGTGAACCATTACACATTTACTGTGAAGTGAAAGCATATGTTGGCAGGAATATACACACACACACACACACACACACACACACACACACACACACGTGTGTATATATATAAAAATAGAGGCCTAGAAATCCGAATTTCTTCGTAGATTTTATCATCAATGGAGCTCAAGAAGTTCCCTCAAACTGCTCACAACCTGCTATTGATTATAAGATATAAATTATATTGATATAAATATAATATTGATATAAATTATAAGTTTTCAATTGTACGTAATTCTGCAAAACTAAAAGGCATTTTTTGGGGGGTTTGTCTGTTTTATTTTAATCAAGAGCTTTTGTAGTGGGTTTTTGGGGAGGGGGGTGTTCAGCTAAGACAGCTCAGCTGCTTGGGAGAACAAACTTAGAATATGTGTTGCAAGCAAACTTTGAAATAATGACAATAAAAAAA